TGGCGACTCCGCTGGGGACAGATAAGTGAGTCAGGCCGAAATTAATTTTCGGTTGTCTTTTTATGCGAAAATATTAAATTTTAATTTTAATTTATTTATTCGATTCCAATTATTTATCTTTGATTATTTTTTTCAAATAAATAGTTGTACTGACGTTTTTTAATGATTTCAGATTTTTTTCAAAATTGTCATCTCTAAGCTCTAACGTTGTTAATTGTGAAACTGTAAGTGCTAGTGGGAGTGGGTCAATTTCTGCACCCCAGAATGAGAATTCATGTCCATTGTAGAATTATGTGAAAAATTGAAAAAATGGGGAACTGTTGGAGGGATTTGAATTTATCGATGTAATATTTGTGGTGAAACTCGCAATGGAAGTTATACTGGGGTGAAGGCTCATTTGTTACAAATTTCAGGTGAAAGGGTTGCACCTTGTAAGAAAGTAACTAAAAATTAGAAACTCTAAATGTTAAAGTTAGTAGAGAAATGGGAGAAGGAAAAGAAACAATGACTGACTAAAGATGTTTCATTGCTTTATCATTCTCAAATTGAATCAGAGACTGATTTTTTTTATAAAAAAATCTAATTTGTCACCTCTTGCTAGATTTTTTGACATGAACACTATGACCAAATTGGATGAAAAAATTGCAATAATGTTTTATATCGGTGGTTTACCATTTAATCTTGCTAGAAATCCTCATTACAATAGAGCTTTTACTTTTGTTGCAACTCATAATATAGGAGGTTATGTGCCCCTAGTTATAATATGAGGAGGAAAAATAAAAAAGTTAAACGTATAATGAGTAAAATAAGAGAACGAGTGAAGTTCAATAAGGAACATTATAATTTACCCAATATATAAATTCCATGTATAACTTTACTTATCTAACTCAAACACTTTCATAGACGTGTAGGCTTGGTATGAATCCAATAGAATTATTTTTCCTTGTTTTTTTTGGAAGACTCCATTTTATCACAAGTGGATGGGTTAATTTACTTGTTACTCATTTCTCTCTCTCTAATTATTCATTTCTCTCTCTCTAATTACTAATTTCTCTCTCTCTAATTACTCATTTCTCTCTCTCTAATTACTCATTTCTCTCTCTCTAATTACTCATTTCTCTCTATCTAATTACTCATTTCTCTCTCTCTAATTACTCATTTCTCTCTCTAATTACTCATTTCTCTCTCTCTAATTACTCATTTCTCTCTCTCTAATTACTCATTTCTCTCTCTTTAATTACTCATTTCTCTCTCTTTAATTGTTAAATACCTAATTTTTATTTTTTTATCTTACATTTTTCTATAAATTTTAACATATTTATTATGTTGTTATGTTCATATTATTTTTATATTATATTTTAGTTATTTTCTCATTTTTGAACCTATTGAATTGATTTAGTGGCAAAGGAAATGTTATTTTCTTTAGAGATTTTGAGTTCGTGTAGTTGCATCTGCAACATATGTGTTGTAAATGACTAGGAAAACTTATAAATAGATATTACTTTGTAATTACTTCAGACTATTTAAAACAAAACTACTTTTCTCATACATCCCAAGAATACAATATCTTTTTTTATTATTAATATAGTGTGATTACAATGTAGGATATATTCTAAAGATTTTCAACAATTTGATAATGAGAATTAATAACCTTGTAGTCTCTGATGTTCAAACCTAAAATCTCTAAAAATAATAATTATATCTTTAATCATTGAGGTAACTTAATTCGTGCAATAATATAATATTTAATTATTAGAGATTTCAATTAATCATATAATCACAAGATCCTTCAATATTTGTATTTAGATATAGTAATAAATTATTTTCTAGATAAGAAGATAAACCTTTTCCTATGTTCTTATCTGTTCTACTTTTCTACTTATATTGCACATACTTGTTACAGTAACCTTACAACTAAACCAGTCTCATTTTCTAACCAATAAAACATTTCCATTTGCGATGTTATTTTTTCATAAAAAAAAACAATTATTGTCAATTAAAAACAGAAAACCCCCATTCTCTTATGAGATCATCATTGAGTGAAAATAGAAACCAAATAATATAAAATCAATCAACTAAAATAATAGGGTTTCTTTTTTTATCAATGCAAGTACATATCCCTTTTCTATCATTCACGAAAATAGTAACACGAAAGGATCCAATCACTTTCTTTCTTTTATTATGTAGTTTTTAGTGTAGGAATCATATTATATTATGTGTTCAAATTGTTAAAACTATAATAATTTGAGAAGAAAAAATTAAAAATAAAATATTTTATTAAATAATTGAAAAGAACATTAAGAAATAAAAATTGATTTATGATAGATTAACATATTGGAAACAAGTTGATGCATGTATCTATACGCTTTTTTTTAAGACAAATTTTGTGTCATTCTTATGGTACTGAGATTGTTAGTCTTCTATCTCTCAAGATACAACGACTAAATGATCAACTACGGCTGTACTTATGTAGAGATCATGGACTGCTCTTTTACCTTCATCTATCATCAAAAAATTAGAGGAGAATAAAATAATTCTTTTGAATTATTTTGTGTTGTGTGGATTGTGTTAACCTTGTAGGTTTACACGGTATTTATAGGGATTTTATATTGTGAACTATTGGAAATTTTTTACCTTATGAAATATTTAATAAAAGAGAATCAATAACTATAACAAGCAATTTTTAAAATTATTGTTTGAATTAAATGAACTTTTTTTTTATATTTATCATTTTAATTCCAAAATGAACTTTTGAAAATATATGCACTATTTGAGGAAAAATATTTTACATTAGAGTTTATAATATTCGCAAGGCCACGGAGAGCTCGACTAGTTCGGACATTCACATTACTCACATCATACACATTTGTACATGTACGAAACGATAATTGATTCCATATTTTTCTTAACAACATTTAAATCAATTTCTTATTGAAAATTTTAAAATTATCGAATTTTCCAAGAAAAAAAACATAGAATAAAATATAATGCATGTAATACATACATAGTGTTATATTTGTTACGTTATTTATGTATTTATTAAACCACTACATGATAAAGATCGCTTTAAAAATTGTATTATTTTCTTTGAAAAAAAAATAGGTTCAATTATTAACAATTTAATTGTCAAAAATATATTTTAAATATGTTACGATTATTAATCTGGTTATATTTTATAACAATTAATTCTGATTTTACCATGTTAAAATATATATTTTTATTATAATCATCATTAATATTTAATTTTTCGATTGATTAATCAGAATTAAATATTAGAGGAATATATTATAAAAATAATTCTCTCAATTTAATTAGTTCGATTTATAACATCAAAATTTAAACCTATAATTTTACTTAAAAAATATAAATTCTCATCTAAACTAACTAATACTTGTGTATATTAATTGAGTCACCATCGACTAAGACCCTCCTGGAAAATCCAGAGCTTGAAGGTGAGAAACAAAGCTGAGAAGGCTTTAGAGAAGTCCAACATTGAAGGAGGTGCAAACTTCACGTTGCAAATGTTTTGAGGTCACCGTAATAATTTTGAAAAAAAAAATAATGGATTTTTATCTAAGTGTGTTGGAAAACTTCAAATATTTTATTATTTTAATAAAATTCTATTATCAAGTAAAACCTATAAAAATAACAATTTTGATATGTAAACTAGAAAAAAATAAATTTAAGAGTAAGATTACACGTGACGAATGACTAACATCTTTATAAAATCTAAATTTTGTAACTTGTTAAAGATGCGTTATTTCAAATCTTAAAATTATAATTTTAAATTTTAATTTTTAAATATGACCTTGAAAATATATTTTAAATTGAATGAAATTTATTTAAAAAAAAAATTACAAAAATGAAATATCATTTTGAATGATTATAATCTTCTTTTAATTCATTTATATTTTTAAAAAATATGTTCCTTTGTTAAAACTACTTAATGAATCACCCTTCAATAAATCTAGAAATTATCTCACTAATCTTCCTAATAAATAGATATTATCTTAACTTGTATTTTTTTTAATAAAATTTACCTCATAAAAAATATTCTAAATAGACGGCCTAAAAGAACAGCTCAATCTGAATTATTATACAGCATGTGCTATCATTATATATGCATAAACTTCACGCAATGTATTTTCTTTTGAATAAAGTAAAAATATTTGCTATTACATTAAATAAAACATTTCTTAAATTGTTTTAATATATATATATATATATATATATATATTAATGTGTGTAGGTTTATTTTATCTTAACGAAATCCATAACTAAAATCTAATTAGTTTTCAAATGTAATAAACCTTATATTCAGCACTTCTTTGTGACATTTATACTTAAAAGATAAACAATATAATCATTAGATAAATTACAGCCAACCCTTTATATATATATTATTTATATTATTGATCTTGTGTCAATTTTATTAAACCTACCAATATCTTTCATCAATAAAAAATGTCAGTTTTATTGATTAAAAAATGGTCAGTTTTTTTAAATGAAGGTTAGGGTTTAGTGGAAAGAGCTTCCTCTAAATCTTTAATCTTGACAAATAAATATTTGAAAACCCAACACGAATTAAATAATAATTAGACTTAACAACAATTGTAAAGATTAATAATAGTAGCAATAATTGCTACTTCAGATCATCATCATTCCCAAAAAAGGTAAGTGAGTTGAAACATTAAATAAAGCAAATATCAAATCATCCTTAAATAGCATAATTCCAAGAGATTAGCATCTAATCATTTTATCCCCTAAACCTAACCCATCAAAGCATCTTATCAGATTGTTGTACCTTAAATTATTAGTAGAAAGTTAATGGGATGTGTTAAAATAATCTGATAATGTTTTTTTAATCACATTTTCTGCTTCTGCTTCCCAGACAGAACATGGAAGCTAATAAGGGAACATTACAGATTCAAAGGTTTTTTCTTTTAAGGTTCCTGAAAACAGAAACCCAGAATTCCAAAGAAAACATCTCTTCCATGTTATATTCTCAACAAAGTCATGATCATTGATTAGAAATAACAAAAAGGTAAAAGAAAAACAGCTAATAAACAAGTCCTTAATCTATCTAACAGCTTATTATCTTCTCATTAGAAAGAAAAAAAAAAGTTGATTCTCATGATAATCATGATTAAGATGAAGCAGAGCCATTAGTTCCAAGATGAACACTTTCAAAGTGATGGTTCAGATTCTGACCATTGTTGTTGTTGTTGTTGTTATCGTCGTTGTCATGGCTGATTCCACTATCAATGTAGTTGTTGTTGTTTGCAGATTCTCCGCCATTAATGGCCTGACCTTTCTTCCCAAAAGTGTTCTTGTTGTTATGCATCCAAACTTTCAAAACTCCTCTATCAACCCCAACTTGTTTGCAAAATTCTTGGATGGCTTCTTCATCTCTTTTCTGAATCTTCCACTCAACTCTCTCGGCGAACTCCAGCATCTTCTCCTTCTGGAACTGACTGAACTTTGTTCTGAATCGCTTTTTCGAGTTCAAACCCAGATTTGTGTTAAGGCCGCCGGAAAGAGCTAAAAGCATATGGGGAGCTGAAGGGTAGTAAGATGACGAGATCGGCGGAGGGGAAGCTGAGTTTGGACTACGATGCGGTCGTTGCTGAGTCGCGGGAGGAGGTGGATGGTGGCGGTGGTGAGGCTGGTATTCTATCGTTGCAGTGGCTGTTGTCATGGGTGGTGGGTCTTCGGGTTCCCGGCGGTGGAAGTTGCGGTGACAGCCACAAACGGCACACTTGAGGGAGGTTGGTTCGGTTGGGGTGGCCGTTGGGGACGGCATGAATTCACCACAGCCGTCTAAAGCATGGCCGCCCAAAGTGGCTGCATGGTTCTTGAGACATTCTTTGTAGATCACTACTATGGGCGGCGCTTGGTGGTGGCTGTGGCGGTGACGCTTGAGGACGCCGTTGGTGAAAGATTTGGGCTTGGTGGTGGGTTCAATCCCGACTGGTGTTTCGGTGTCCGGGTCGGGTGATTTGGGTGCTGTGGTGGTGCTTAGTGGAGGGGTGCTTGTGGGAGCTCCTTCCATGGCTTTAACATCTACAGTCAACAAAAGCACATACAAACCAAAACAAGACGAAAATTGAAATTAAAATAGGGTTTTCAATATGGTTTTTACGGGAATTTGGATGTCATGAAAGAAAACTTAGAAGCTTGGAAATGGAAAGAAGAAAAGACAGGACGGCGGTATTGATGGTGGTGGTGGTGGTGGAGGAGAAGGAGGAGGAATGGTGACTGTTGATAATAAAAAAATTTGTGGTTGAGGTTGCCCTACTTAACCACTTGAGTTTTTAACCAGAGTTCTAATCCATGGTTAAGTAGTTGACCCATTTAGGGTTAACTATATTTGTGTAATTAATAAAAATGAAATAAATTGTATACATTATCTTCATTTTTTAGGGGAAAAAATACTCCCGCAACATGAATATTAGTAGTACTTGATTTTTAAATATTATTTTATCTAATTGCAATAAAATGAAAAGGATATTTTACCCTTACATGGTAAATGTCCACTCCAATTTATAACCTCAAAAGTATTTAAGAACAACTCTGATGTGTTTTTACAATAACAAATTCTGAACACTAATATAAATGTTACATTCATAAACTAAAGTAGAATATATGATTAAATTTGAGATCGGATATCAATCAGCGATAAAATATTAGAAATCAAATATGAAATTTAATACAAATCTCATATATATAGTTATGATTCACTTATATAATGTAAAAATTCTTAGTTTTATATCAATTTAAGATTGTTAGACAAATAAAAATAAACGACTGATATTATATTTTTTCAGTAAATATATTCTCATTTTCATCGATAATCTTAACTGTTTGTTTTCACTCATCTAATGATCCTAAATCAGTATATTATTTTTAATTTTACATACATATATATATGACTACAATCCACTTACACCTAATGTAAATATATATATATATATTTAGTTTCACATCTTTAAAGTTGTTAAATGAGTGAAAATATGGCTTTTAGTATGTATGTATGTATGTATGTATGTGTAGTCATGGGTCATGTTATGTTTTTTGTCGACTCAAACTCGATTTGAGTATTGTAATCATCCAAATTTGAATTTAGAGAGATTCAACTCCATCTAAATTTTAGAGTTAAAACTTGTACCTAACCTAACATAACATAAGAATCTCATCTTTATTCAATAAAATAGGTAACTAATAGAAAAATATATAGACATGGACACTATAACAAATATTCTTAAATTATGGAGGATAATTATATTATTATCTCAATTTTTTTACCTTAAATTTAGATCTAACATGATTTAATCCAAAATTAATATAATTTTTTTTATTCGATTAAAAATATATAATTTTAAAAATATAAAAAAGACATTGTAACCGTTATTTATGTGTGTGAGATAATTATATCAATATATTAGTTTGAGTAAAAAATTAGCATAAATTTTAATTTGACCAATTTTAATGTCATCCTTCAAAAATTCGATTCCAAGCAAAATCATTATTATATTTTAAAATGAACTCTATAAAGTTAGATAGAAACACGTAAAAATCAAGTAAAACAATCCTCCTAATATATGATTACTAGGTTTAAGAATTAGTAAGACAAAAAAGAGCACTGATTTCGTAGTAAATTAATGAATTTTTCACAGCAGTAAACAGAGAGGGGGGAGAGAACCAATGAGATTACTACAAAGACGAGTACAATGACGTCATCAAACCAATCATGTCGAATCTAAGGTTTAATCATCGAAGTATGTGTAAAAACCCAACCAACCGTTGCATTGATATTTCAAACTCTCAATTTATTATTATTTGTCCTAAAAAAAACTGTTCAAAAACAGTTCACTTTTAAAAAAAACGCTTTTTTATTATTATTTGTTCTCTTCTATTTCTAAAACGATAGTATTTTTTTTTGTTTAATATCAAAATAAGTGTATAAAATATATTTTTTTAACAAATAAGTATTATAAGTGTCTAACATTATAAACGCTACTACTTTAAATGTCTCGGTTGTAACAACCGTTATAAAACATCGTTAAGTAACACATGACACAATCTTATAATTTTAAAAAATTTATTTTTCTTAAAAAATAAAAATATTAGTAAAATGTTTAAGAAAACATTTCCAGTTTCCTCCCAACTCGCATCCCACCCTCTCCCTCCCATGCTTCATGGCTTTGCCACGGCCAAATGGACAAAGGCCAAATGGTCGGTTTCCACAATCGGCTAAACGGTCGATTACCACGATCGATCAAATGAATTTAAGGGATGAATATTTGAGATTTTAGGGATTAGAAATTGGAATTTAGGGATTTGAGAATTTTAGGTTTTGAGATTGTAATACCCCAAAATTTCATTAGTGACTAAACATAATTTTTGAAAGTTTAGTAGCCAAAGTAGAATCTTAGAGAAAAATTAAAGGACCAAAGAGGTAATTTTCCCAAAAAACTTATTCTATAAATAAATAATTCATCTTTAAGAATAGATTCTTTATGCAATTCACATTTCGATATGAAATTTGTGTAAAGAGCTAATAAGTGATAAAGTATTTGGATAATCATATCGAATCAAAAGTTTATAAATATTTGAAGAATGGTAGTATGAGGTTTGAAATATTATATTTATAATTTTAATCAATATAATTAAACATGGAAATTTGAGATTAAATGGATTTTCCATGTTAAAGATGAATAGTGGAAATTAAGTGACTAAATTGAAATTTTGGAAAAGAGCAAAGGCTAAGATAAAAATTAATCAAATAAATGTTGATATTTATATGATGATGTAAGAATGGTGATAAAATCATGGAAAAGTGGTAAATATCAAGATTCATTCAAAGTAGAAATAACTTTTGGACTAAAATGAATTTTAATTCATTTTAATTAGAATTTAACAAATGTACATAGATATTTTTTGTAGAAAAATCAAGAAAACTCCTTCTTCTCCCTATAAATTTCATGCACCATAGATAAAAATGTGTAAGGTATGTTTTCTTCCTTTTTCTTCATTTTAGTCCTTTTTACTTTGATTTTTGAATTAAGTTGTGAAATAGAAAAATGATCTTTATCAAAATTCTCTACCATTTGATATGAATATTACATGATTTACATGCTTGAATCAATGATTTTTTTTCTAGAGTGGATGATGAATAAGTTGGATTTTGATTATTTATGGATATATATATTTGTGTTATTAATGTTATAAAGTTGTTTTCAAGTTTTAATAATGATCAAAATTACTTAGAAATTTTTATATACTATTCAGTCATGGTTAATATTCATGAAGAAATAAAAATTTTGATTAGTTTTTGTTATGAAAATGATTGAAATTACATGGAAATGTTGTTAGGAAGATGAAATCATGCTTGAATCAAGTTGAAAATCAAGATAATACACTTTAATCAAGTAGGCCTAAGGGAATATGACAAAGAAAAATTGTGGAAAAGTTATACAAGGTCTAGAAATAATATGTGAATGATTCTATATGCTTAAAATGTGTTGGAAAATTTTGAAAGTATAGGGATTTAATTGCATAAATTGAGAAATATGGGGATTCATGTGAAATTGTTTAATAGTTGATGTTTTATGTTGAAATTGAATGTTGGAATGATGAATTTAACATTAGGATGTTTATTGGGATTAAATATTAAAATTATGAAAATAATAAGACTAATTCACATACTTTTTAAAATATGAGGATTAAAGTGTATTTATTTAATAGTTAAAATAATATGCTGGAAATTAGATTTTTAGAATGTTGAATTGATGTTAAAATATGAAATTGGGTTACTTTGGAAAATTAGTAAAGTTTGGGAATTAAATCATAAACACGAAAAAGATAAGGACTTAAGTGAAAATTTTGTAATCTTTGAGGCAATAAGTTTTAATTCAATGCTGGAAATTTTGGTTATGTTAATTAAAGCTTGAATTGAGGTTAGATATGTAAGATTGTTAAGATTAAAGACTAAATTTCAAATTTGTATAAGTTATGGGTATAAAATGGAAATTGGTATAAGTTAATAAGTAGAAATTAAACATGTTATTGGAATGTTCGAATTTATTTTATGATGCTCAAATTTAGGATTAGATAGCAAAAAGGGACAACCATTGGAATTGAATATTAAAATATTGATTTCATATTGAAATGATGATTTTGGACTAGTTTGTAAGTTTGTTAAAGTTTGGAAACCAACATATAAAATGTTAAAGTAGTTGAGCAGTAAATAATAGAATGGTGACTCTGATATTAAAGTATTAATTGAGATTGATTTAAAAGTATGTATAAGCCAAATGATCAAATTGAAAAGGTGGAGAAATTATGGGATTTAAATAGGAATTTAGTGTAAGACGATATGAAAGGTTTGAGTGAATAGTAATAATAAATGATTATTAGAGGGATTTGAAAGGTAAATTGAATTATGGTTAAGTTGTAAATGAACTTTTTACATTACTTGAGAAATTGAAGAATTAATATGTAAAGGTTGGAAAATTTGTATGTTCAAAATTATAATTAAGATATGACATATTTAATTTAGATCAATATGGAAAGTTGTATAAATATAGAGGTACAATTCGTAAGTTTTAGAAAAGTCGGTGGTAAAATGATAATTATATATAAGTTAATGCATTAGATTGAAAATAATGTGAAAATAATTGATATGAATTCAAACTGAATATTGAAGAACTGATTGGGATATTTTGAAATATTAAAATTATATTTGAAAGAAAATTTTATTGGTGGATAAATGTGAAATGTTGGAAAGTTAGGTGAATTGTTGTGAGAAATAAATTATTTAAGGGAGTAAAAAGGTTAATTTGATAGAGTTAAAGTTAGTTTTTGATTTGGTAAAAGAAATTAGTATTGAATACACATTAGTTGTATTTTTAGAATATTTATACAATTTTAAATTTATTTTATTAATTGAAGTATGAACACATGATTAAAATAGTAAACGAATTTGATATTTTTTCTATAAATATTTTTATGGATATAAGATTTCAAATAAAATATGTGTATAAGACTTGAGATACAGTGGTACTCGAGGTGGAGTGTTATTGATCGAACATACAAAGGTACATTTGTGTACAACATAATTATTGGATATATTTATGTATTCGGGATCATATGTATAGTGTTGTTGTGTTTTATAGTACATGTACATTCATAGTGCACCTACGATACAATCATAGGATACTAAATGTGCTATACATCTACAGACTATAAGTAACTATGC